CTGTCTCACACACACACACACACACACACACACACACAGACACAGACACACACGATGTGACTGAGCAAATCAAAAAAGGATTTAAACTCACTACATGACTTCTTTAGATTACATTCAGTGTTTTTGCAGGCCTAGAAATCTCAGACGTCCATGATATTTCCCAGCTTTGCACGACTCTGGAAGCTGTGCTGGTTAAATTATTAACAAAAATAATTGAGCACCTGTATGATCTGACTGTGACGGCTCTCATGGGATCTATTTGAGCTCTCAGTCAGAGATAAAGGGACGTCCCGTTCATCCCAGAGAAGAGGACATTTATGGCGCTTTTCCACTGCATGGTACGGCACGGTACGGCTTTGTACGCAAACACACACACACACACACAGACACAGACACACACGATGTGACTGAGCAAATCAAAAAAGGATTTAAACTCACTACATGACTTCTTTAGATTACATTCAGTGTTTTTGCAGGCCTAGAAATCTCAGACGTCCATGATATTTCCCAGCTTTGCACGACTCTGGAAGCTGTGCTGGTTAAATTATTAACAAAAATAATTGAGCACCTGTATGATCTGACTGTGACGGCTCTCATGGGATCTATTTGAGCTCTCAGTCAGAGATAAAGGGACAAACGCAAACCGTACCGAGCCGAACCGTGCCGAACCGTGCCGAGCCGAGTCGTACCACGCAGTGGAAAAGTGCCTTTAGTGAGGTTTGTCTAGCGTATGATCTGATGACGGATGAATTATTGAGTCAATTATTCATTTGGAGGGACACAAACAGATGAATTTCAATCATGTGTTTGACTGATTTGTACCTTCTCGAGTTTAGAGAGCAGCTCCTCCACTTCCGCTTTCCCCTGCTCCTTTGCCTGAACACAATACACAAACACAATCCAAATATCAAAATCGCATGACAGGATCATAAAGAATAATCCCTCACACACAAACAACATGTACTGTATATATCGGCCAGGGTGATCTATCAGATTTAGATAATGGCAACTTCTGGGAATCTTAAGTAAAGACCTAAAATGTGACCACAAAACTAGTCTTAAGTCACTGGGGTATATTTGTAGCAATAGCCAACAATACATAGTGTGTGTCAAAATGATACATTTTTCTTTTATGCCAAAAATCATTAGGATATTAAGTAAACATCATGTTCCATGAAGATATTTAGTAAATTTCCTACCGTAAATATATCAAAACTTAATTTTTGATTAGTAATATGCATTGCTAAGAACTTTATTTGGACAACTTTAAAGATGATTTTTTTCAATATTTAGATTTTTTTTGCACCCTCAGATTCCAGATTTTCAAATAGTTGTATCTCGGCCAAATATTGTCCTATCCTAACAAAACCATACATCAATGGAAAGCTTATTTATTCAAATCTCCATGACCTTTATGACTGATTTTGTGGTCCAGGGTCACAAATAAGAACAATTCTGTAATACGCCCCCTGGGCTGGAAACAAGACAAAGAAATCTAAGTAAGAAAAGCACTTACTGGTCACTGACTGAACACACACACACACAC